ATATTATATTATATATTATAATATTATAATATTATATTATATATTATAATATTATAATATTATAATATAATATTTCGTATTCGATCAATTGAATTTGCTCTCTAAAAACGAAACATTTTCGCGTATTCGTTAATGTCGAATATTAAAACAGTTCAACACGTTTGTTTCAAAGGCTGCAAAGAGAATCAAAATGGCGGTGCGGGAACGTAACTTTCCACCGTTAAATATCTCATTGCTCTCGCTCTCGGTATCAGCTAAATATAATATTAGGGGGACCGGAAAGTAATATCGTTTCTGCGCATATTTATCTGTTTGAATTTAATGTAAACAAACGACATAACTTTCCGGTCCACCTAATATTTCGTATTCGATCAATTGAATTTGCTCTCTAAGAACTGAACATCTTCACGTATTCGTTAATGTCGACTGTTAAAACAGTTCAACACGTTCGGTCACATCAACACGTTTCGAAACTGCGGATACGTAACACTCGCATAGCTTATACAACGAGTTCATTGTGGCATCGTGCGGATAATTCGTCTTGGCTTCAGGCGAACTATCCGAAGCCGTGTCTACGGGTATACATATACGGTCTAAGATATTATCGATCGATGAGTAAACTATAGTATTATTTGGGCGTGAGAACGTTGGACGCACGCGGAACTGTTTGAGAGAACTGGGAACGCTTCTCCGTTTGCCTATCCTCGGAGAGATTAGATTGAGCGTAACGGATAAGTTCACGGTCTATCGGGACGATGGTGGGTCTCTAAAAAATCGAGCGAACCCGGCAGGGGCGTGCTGCGCGATGCGATGATACACTTGAGACGCGACCTGCCTACACATGAACTTTCTAACAGACATCCGATTATTTATAGATCGCAGGAATTTATTTACCGCGAGCAAGAGCACGCGGCAGCCGCCGCGCCATTGCGACGCCCGAACGCTCGCGGTCGCAACAAGCGTAAATACATGCTAATCGTGCCAATTGTCACTGATTGTTTTTCTTTAATCCCCCGAGTGAACCGCGAACGCGTTCGCAACAAGCCAGTTCGAGCTTCGTATTATCGAACGTGTTGCGACACGCCGCACGGCTTCCGCGCAATAGAAATCCGTTGCATATCCCGCGTCTCCCATAGATCTACGGATCACGGGGTGATCGCGAACAGCGTTACATCTGTTTCTTCCATTTCGGTTGCACCGTGCACACCAATCAATATCAATTTGTCTTCGTGGCCGTTGATCGATGCGTTTCACAATGCGGACGAGCATGTTCCCGCAATCGATTTGCCTTGCAATTGACGGACAGATCGTTTTTAACCTGGCCGCGGTGGCCACTTTCGAAAATTCCGACGTTTCAATTAACATAGCTAATTAAGCGGAACCGAATAGTGTCTATTGTTTAATGATCCAATATCGATGTAATATTGCCTCCGAGTTTCATTAAAATCGCATTAACTGGTCGAAGCTGCGCGCCGGAGGTCGAACGACAGATGTAGGACGATCAACATGACGCTTGAAAAGGTTAATGTTCTGATTACAGAATGTTGGTATTTTAGAATGGAATGCTAATTCGTGTGTTTCGATTTGACCGACGAAATTGTCGTTTCAACAATCTAGGCGAGCGTTAAAACGTTTAAACGGTTTTTATATTGCTACGTTGCTAGATGTTTCTACTATTTATAGTCAGATCGGGGATCCTCGTGCAGTATAAAAATATCCCACTTTATACATTTAATTCTTCTCTGAATAATTCTAAAAAGTTCAGCGAACTACAAATGTTTTGCACTAGTTGAAGAAATAAGTAGTAAATAGAAAGTTCTTCCTTCGACAAAAATTCTGTAAATTCGCAATAATATTCCGGCGTCCTTAAATTTCTTTAATCTTCCTATTATTTATAATTTCTCTATCACTATTTTTCCTTATATACATAAAATTCGCAATCTAATAATAAATCTATTTTCATTTCCCTGTTTAATTCGTTCACTTTCTTCGTGACAAGCATTTGCAATTGCTATTTATATATTTTCAATTATATTATATTATATTATATTATATATTTGACAACTTTGAGAAATGGCACCACCGTTGATCGATAAATATTACGCTATAAAGTGAAGAATGCGCGCGCAGCAACCTCCCCTCAACAACTGCGCTTATTGCTGTTATACATACAACATAATAAGTCTGTTTTTATTCTTTTACTTCATCGATTTGTCTTCGTCGCGTCGATCACGAAATTCGTATTTGCAATTTCCATTTATTCCTCCCGCTTTCCATCGACTTGCGTAAATTTTGAAAAATGGCGCTACCGTTGATCCATCGATAAACATTACACGGTAGAGGGAAGGATGCGCGCGCAGCAACCTCCCCTAAAACGGCTGCGCCGATCGGTTGCGCGGTAATCGACCGCGATCGTCGGCTCGATTGTGTCGCACAGTAAGTCGACCGCAATTATTACAAGGAAAACGCGGTTTTCGTCGTTCGTATTACAAGCGAAAGTGTTCGAAGAACGTCGATTACGTTCGGAGAATTCGTTCGGAGAAGTAAAATTCAGACTACAGCGCGACGTGGTCCGTTAAAACGGTGCGTACGATGCGGTAGTGCCGTAGCGCGGTGGTGCGGGTTAAACGCGTTCGTGTTTACGCAGAGATTCGGTTCGAACGTGGCGAACAACCGTGGAAGAGAGGATAGCGACGAGAGAACGAGAGAAGGCGCGGCGTGGCGGTTAGGAAGGCCGGCAGTGTGACGGGCCGCGTGGTAGGAGGTTGCCGCGATTCAATTTCAGTCGAAGCGCGCCAGGCAGACCGAGCGCCAGCAAGAACCGGCTGCTCTCTTTTCCACACCTCGTGCCTCATTTTTTCGAGCACGCAGTCGAATATTTTCCGTGTGTGTGCGTGCGCGAGCGCGCGCGTGTGCTTGTGCATCGCCCGTCTCTCTCTCTCTCGCGTTCTCTCTCCTTCGCCTCCTCTCTCCGTTCGACGGTTATATTCGTGAGACTGGGATGCACATGTACCGGCCGAGGGAGGGGGATGCCAGTGGCGCGAGCGTGCCTGTGTGCGGGCCTCCAGCATCCGTTTACGCCGAGCGAGTGTTTACGTCGTGGTGCGTGTAACCCACCGTGGACAACCGTTGCTCGGGAACCAGTATTCTCCGACGTTTTCGAACGCGTTCGGAGAGAAAAAAGCTCGGTCTACGTGTGCACGCGTGACGACCCAGTTTCCGAGGGGAGCATTAGGAGGTCTCCCGCGAGAGTGATCCTCGATATCGAATCGAATCGAATTAAAGTCGAACGGCGATCAACCATGGCGGTTGAACGTTGACGGTGTCAACGGGACCTCTGCCGAATTCTCGAGAACCAGCGGCGAACGGTGTTGCCGGAAGTGTTCGAACAAATTCGAGAAACGGAAGACACGTGTTATTCGATTTTATATTCGTCGCTCGAATGCCGCAGTGAAGTATTAGAGATTGTTCTTGCGAGTGAAACAGAGAGACAGAGAGAGAAAAAGAAAGAGAGCGGTCATCGATAGTTATCGAATCGAATCCGCGACTTCGGCCAAACGAAGTTCGAACGTTAACGTGAACGCGGGGTCGCGTACGAACGAACGAACGAACGGAGGAACGGTGTATGCGAAAAATGTGCGCGTCTACGTCGGAACAAGCATTGCCGATTCCTCAGCGAAGTTTCGTCCTGTTGGGAACGAGTGACCGGGACACGTGACCGCCTGTTCTGCCGCCATGTCCACGAGGGGATAAGCCGAAAGGGAACCGGGAATCTGTGAGAATGGAATTCGGAGGTTACAAAGGCACCGGCCCCCGCGTTAGGGTGCGACGACGCGCGGAATTAGGCAGACGGCTCACCAGGAGGCTGTCGTTGGTCGCGAAAATGCCGGCTGCCATTCTCAGCAGGGCCAACCCGCCCGAGCCAAGGCCGGTCGAGATCACGGCGATCGCACCTGACAAGTCCCAGCTCACCGTGAGTCCGATTCTTATTTCTCATCTAACGATTCTCGCTCGCTGCTTTTTACTCGATTCGCTCGACCTTGCTCGCTCTGTTATTCCTCCGTAACGGTGTGTACGTGTGTGTGTGTATGCGAGCGATTATACAGGTTGTCCCGAGCCACGCGTTTCGCCCAATTTACCTCTTGCTGAGAGTTTATCGATATGGACGGATCCATCTAAACATTTCTTGCGAAATCTTGCCTGAAAACGAGTTCTAAATTCCGCGTAAATATTCAGATATTTTAACACATTAAAGGCGGGAGTCGTAATACTACGATTTATCTCGACTTCTCATAAATATGTACTTTAGAACATTTTTTCTAATTAGTGTTTAGTTCTTTTTTAATATTTCTTTTAGTTTTAAGAGTTGAAATAAACTTTTTTAAGTCCAAATTTTTTTATGATTACACAAAATATCGCCCGCTCTAGGACGAAAAACGAAGCGGGCCGGTCGCCGCGTTACCTAGCATACTTTCGTCAAGATACGTTGGCTGCCGTGGGGGTCACCGGTGACCGGCGCTCGACTTGGCTACAGCGCCGTGGGGGCCACCGGTGACCGGCGACGCGACGAATAGTTAAAATACATAATTAGGGTAAACGTCGATACGCATAAATTTTTAAATAATATAATATTATAATAATTGTAATTTATTACAATGCGCCACGAAAAATGCATAAAACAAGTTTATACAACTAAACTTATCTGCAGTAAATAATATTTCAACATAATATGCATCGCACAATGAAAAATTCACGTTGGCGCATTGGGCAAGTCACGTAAAATTCGCGCGGCAGCCAACGTGATAAGATTTAGCTAGACAGCTTTTTAGATTATTTTTCCAATTGGTACTACAGGTCCAGCATTCGTCACAAATTCGTTTTTATTCCGGAAATTCTGACGCTTACAGAAAATCGGCGAGGAGACCACCTTGCGGAGACGTGAGAAATCGGAGAAAAAAAAGAACGGCGTGTATCGTTACGGTTTTTTGCGATCGATGAGCAGAGAACAATATTTATCCGGGCACCTCGGGGAATAATACCGTTCGTAACATTGTTCGATTGTCGTTCGAAAGAGGGGGGGGGGGGAGTAGGGGACAGGACCGATTGTCTCGAACTATGTCGCGTGTACGCGGCGTATCTCCTCGGAACACCATCGTGGAAAAGCTCCGTAATGACGCGAAAACGTTTGTCCTCGCAGGAACAGCTTGCTTTCGTACGCGGCGGGTGTAATTGAGAAAACGGACGCGCACAAAGGAGGATACCGCGGTAGAAATCGAATCTGGCCGCGCGACCAGCGTAGGGTTCTTGCGTTAGATTAATGTACCACCGGCGGACCAACAGGTAGTGGTACGGTATAAGCATAAGCCGGTGCGCGGCTTACCGAGCCGTACCGAGTACATTCTATACAGGAGTAAGAGGCGTTACCTTCGGTATTTAACCGGTGTCTATAGAAACGTTGCACGTCATTCCCTTGTTGTGTACGTGCGTTGTTGCTTCGCCTTTGTGCGCCGCGTTCTACACTCCGCGAACACTGACTTTTGTCGGACCCGATCCCGATCCCGGAGCAACCTTTATTATAGCCTCTCCGATCGATTTAATGGATGTTTGGTTATACTGGCTCCGTCTAGCCACAACAATCTTTTATCGGTGGGCACCACGGTTTCACGACCTCCGCTTCGGAAGAATTAATGCAACCGCGTTAAACGACTGTGAAAGTTATTCACGCAACCGTGCGCGTTTTATATATTAGGAAACGCTTATTTCAGAGCTGGTCGAATATGAAAAATGGACGTCTGCTTTATGACAACGATAACGGTGGTAATCTTTTATCCGCGCGCGTCAGTCTTCTGCGTCTTTGGAAAAAATAGTATTATAGTAGCGAAATATCTTTACTTTAATTGGCAGCGATAACGGTAGCAAGTCTCTGCGATTTGTTCATCGTCTTGCATTTCTTTGGAAGAACGTGCACACTTTCTAATTACTGCAAAAGATTTTTTACAAACTGTGTACATTTTATGTGTTAACATTCTTCAGGAGATAAATGATTCCCGAGTTTGAAATGTCTGAAACGGATGTTTAGCTTTTGGCATCGATAATGGTAACAGTCCTGTATCAGTTTGGACCATTTTCTCTTTCTTTGGAAGAATTTGCACAGTTCCAAATGACTGTAAAAGATTTTTACGAAATTTTACATTTTATATATTAGCATTCTTCTGGAGATAAATGATTCCAAAGTTTGAAATGTTCGAAACGGATGTTTAGCTTTTGGCACCGATAATGCTAACAATCCTGTATCAGTTTGGACCATTTTCTCTTTCTTTGGAAGAACTAGCACAGTTCCAAATGATTGCGAAAGATATTTGCAAACTTTTACATTTTATATATTAGCATTCTTCAGGAGATAAATGATACCGAAGTTTGAAATGTCTGAAACGGATGTTTAGCTTTTGACACCGATAATGGTAACAATCCTGTATCAGTTTGGACCATTTTTTCTTTCTTTGGAAGAACTTGCACAGTTCCAAATGATTGTGAAAGATTTTTACATTTTATATATTAGCATTTTTCAGGAGATAAATGATTCCAGAGTCTGAAATGTCTGAAACGGATGTCTAGCTTTTGACACCGATAATACCAACAATTCAGTATCAGTTTGGTCCATTTTCTCTTTCTTTGGAAGAACTAGCACAGTTCCAAATGACTGCAAAAGATTTTTACAAACTTTTACATTTTATATATTAGCATTTTTCAGGAGATAAATGATCCCAAAGTTTGAAATGTCCGAAACCGATATTTAGTTTTTGGCACCGATAGTACCAACAATCCTGTATCAGTTTGCACCATCTTCTCTTTCTTTGGAAGAACTTTCACAGTTCCAAATGATTGCGAAAGCCCCTAACATTCTTCAATCGATGAATTATTGCCGGATCGATCGCAGATGATTTCGCAGGGAATGTCCTGCAGGAACACGTCGAGGATGAATTTTTCAACTTCTTAGTGTCGCAACACGTACCTTAGACGTTCGCTGCAAGTGCAAATAGATCGCAATCTCGCCGGTAGTTCGAATCATTGTTTAGGTCTCCCTATTCTTCGGCGCGGCGAGGCGAGGCGAGGCGAGCCGCTCGATCGCTGGGAATAGGAAGATTCTCAGGTGTCGAACACGTTTCGATAATAACGATAGGAGCGCGCGGGTTGCCTGTACGCGCCGTACGTAAGCTCGCGCGAAAGAAAAGTGAAGGCGTCGTTGAGCGTCGTATCGCGGTTCCTTGAACTCCGCACGTAATCGTCGTAAGAAAGAAAGTGTGCGCAACGTGATCGGCACCCGGCACTTTCTAGCTGATCCCGATACGTGCACTTTGCCCTTGTTCCGGCCCTTCGCCGGTTCGACTTCGTTTCTCTCCACGGCCGACGTCGTCTTCGTCCGCCGATCTCGCCGGCTTTAGAAGGAACACCGAAGTTTTGAAATTCTAAAGACAGATCTCGGCAATCCGTACAGAACATTTCCAACCGTATCTAGCGATCTGCTACTTTTTTGCCCTTGATCCGAGATGCCGGAGAAATGAATCGAACAGTTTCAAATTCCTCGGTCAAAAACAAGAACCACGAGTTTCCTCTCGCATTTTCTGTACACGTTCATACCGTACCGAAGCGGTCCACTTTATTTAATGGAACCGCATATAAATTGCATAGAAGATATCTCGCCATTGATCTGCAACGCGTGGATCATTAGAGTTTTTATTAACCAGCCAAGCGCGCGCGCGCGCTCTCGCTCGCTCGCTCGGGTGTTTCATGGCTGCGATCGTAAACAGCGTTCACCGGGCACCGTTTTCCGCTCGGACCGATACTTTTCCAATTTTCCGTTATCCATAAGCCGATCGATCGCGTTGCACAAGGTCGATGCTGCTGCGCCTTAGCTCGCCTCGATTTTCGAAGGTGATTTTCACGCCGTTTGCCGATCGAACAGAAAGTCGGATTAATGCGGCATGCGGCGGGACAAGTCCGCCGCGGCGGATCGCCGTCGTCGATCGACGGGCGATTTCGCTCGCGGGACTATTGACGCGTTTCTCTCCCCCTCCCCCCCCGACTTCGAATCTAATTGCCGGGTAATTTGCGGCCACGATTCTTTCGCGTGCAGGAAATATCTGCTCGTAACGTCGGAGGTTCGGTCGGTGCCGATAACGTTACTCCTGGTTACCGTTTCCCGCGGATCCCGTTCCGCGCCGCGCGAATGCCAACGGATCGAAAAATCATCGTTTCGCTCGTTTATTCGCGGTATTATGTAAAAAAGCGCCTCGAGTGGCAAACATTGCTGCGATAGGGAACAAGAAAACTGCCGGCGGAACCGCGTCGTAAATTCTCGGCGCACGTTAATTACTTTGAGAGTCGCGCGCGGCTCGATCGGTTCGAGCCGGGTCGAGTCGAGTCGGAACGAAACGAATCGGCACTCGGTTCGCGCGCATTACGGAAACGCGAAATTTTCTATCACTTTCTCCGTGCGTGCGCTTTCGTACAATTAGCCCGACGAACCGCGCATAATTAAACGGCGAACATTCGGGGACCGAACCAGCGCTTTCTCGCGTTTCAATCCCTGTCTCGCGAGGTCCTGCTTGAATTTTAACGCGATCCTCGACGATGTGGATCCTGTTCGACTTTTCGGTAGCCGATGTAATTTTCGATTTGAGACCTGTCCGCGAATCGGCAATCGCAGACCCGACGCGAAACCGGCGCGGCAGAGTGGAAGCCGCGAACGATTTTTCTGGCTCGGTTAACACGCGTGAACGCGGCAGTGGTTGGCAAAGGTCACTGACACGATGCTAGCGGACCGCGAAACTCACTTTCGACTCGAGGAGGATCGAAGGTAGCCTCGATCGATCCTCGTACGCCGCGCGCGAACCAAATGGAACGAGACGGCGCACGGCTGTCCCATGGGGACGGAGAAAGTGACAGTGTCGAATTAACCGGGCATCCCTGTGT